CAGTAGTGTGAGACAGTGAGGCTGCACAGAGAGAACAATCAGGAGGCAGACAAGAAGCAGTATGTACTTGAATGAAGCCCTGGAGCCAAGGAGCTTTAAGAATCCAAAGCTTTTGTGTTCACTGGGAGAAGGGGGAGATGGGCAAGTGGAGCTCTGACTTCTGACGTAGGAGGTTAATGACCCCAGTGAGGAGTTCCTGGGTAATGGACTTGTTTGTTGTTGTTATGTGTTATCAAGTCACTTGTGACTCATAGCGACCCTATGTACAACAGCTCTGAACCCAACTCTCTCCTGAGCCAACCTTACTTGGCTGCTTTAAAAAAAAAAGTCATTCTAACCAGAGACACTCAGAAGAAAAGCCTGGCAATCTACTTTGAAAGGCCCAGCCATTGAAAACCTTACCAAACACATTTCACACTGTGAAGGTTGCCCTGAGTCAAAATCTAGTAAAGCTAGCATGTGGGGAGGAGGGCAAGTCAGGCTGTAGGTCCATGAGTTTGAGCAAGCTACATAGGGACAGTAGAAATTTTCACCATTGTCTCCAAAAGTTATTCCAATTCTCACTTACATCTTCTTTTAATCAAATAGGATGCATTTCATTCTGTCACCATAGGGAAAAAAAAATCATTGCCCTCTGCTGGGAATGAATAACCTTTTGAATTAATAAACTTTGGGTAGGAAAATTGGTTTCATTAATACTTCCCTTGTACACTCCAAGTTCATCATCTCTCAGTGCCCTAAAACCAAAAGCCCAAGACTTATTATCTGAGAAGCCTGAACGGCTTTGTACTCAGAAAGAATGATTGGGTTCTTAGTAACTGGACTGAATTGAGTTCACTAACCAAAAATGCCACGCTGGCGTGACCTTTCATCTGCTCTTCAGTCACACAGAGTTGGGGTAAGAGGAAGTGTTAGCCTCTGCTGGAAGAAAGCTAAGAGCTCCCCCTCCCCAGATCTTTGCCTGATCCTTAATCTTGGCTGGGAAGGTCACTTATGTTGGGGTGCCACCAGTCTGGAAACATGGCCCCTCTTTAGACTTCTCCCCACCCCTAGCTGTTTAGTTGGAGGTTGAGTCATGTCACAACCTTGACAGCTATTGGATGACCACCAATCCCCACTTCAAAATGACTCAACAGGGTGAGGTTTTCTCAAGAGATGGATACGCTAAAGTCATTTACTAAAGTAATAGAAGCCTCCTCTCCTTTTGACCCTGCTGAGCTTACTTAAAGTTGTTCCCTGTTTCTGGAAAGCACCCTGTTCCTCACACACCACATTCATTCTTCAAAGCCTGGATCAAGCATCTCTCTCCCTGAAAACCCTTCCCTGCTGACCTCTACTCTAAATCAGGCAGAGTTCCTCATTCCCTTTGCTATCCTCCCCACAACAACTCCACCCAATACCAGTCTAGGCAATGCTTACATGATGTAATGTGCCTGCAAGTAAAGACGGGTTGAGTGAAATAAGGAATGCATGTTGTTATCAGGTGCTGCTTAGAGGATTCTGACTCATAGCAACCCCACAGGGTAGAACTGTCCCATTGGATTTCCTAGGTTGCAATCTTTATAGGCCAAGTCTGCTGTCAGGGATCTCTCTAAAATATTGACAAGCAATGATGTCAGTTTGAACATTAAGATGTGCCTGATTCAGTAATTTTCAATTACTTGTTATACATATGAGAGCTGGGCATTGAATAAGGATGACAGAAGAATTGATGCCTTTGACTTACAGTGTTGGAGAACAGTACTGAATGTGCCATGGACTACCAAAAGAACAAACAGGTATGTCTTGGGAAAAGAGCAGGCAGAGTGCTCCTTGGAGGCAAGGATGATTTTATCTCCCATTCTTTGGACATGTTGATTATTGTTGTTGTTGTTGTTGGCTATCAGCGAGTTGAGTATGACACATAGCAACCCTACGAACAAAAGAACTGAACCCTGTTCTATTCTGCACCACCTTAATGCTTTCTGACACACAAGAACCCATTGCAGCAGTCACCGTGTCAATCCACCTAGTTGAGGGTCTTCCTCATCTTCACTGATCCTCCAACCTTCCCAGCATCATGTCCCTCTCCAAGGAATAGCACCTGCTAGCAACATGCCCAAAGTATGTGAGGTGAAGCTTTATCATTCTTGCCTCCAAAGAGCACTCCAGCTACTCCCTCTTACATGTTGATGGGAAAGGCTATTCCTAGGAAAAGAATATCATGCTTGGAAGGGTGGAGGGTCAGCAAAAGGGAAGAAGATCCTCATTGAGATGATTGACATGGGAAATATAACAATGGGCTCAAGTGTGTCCGAAATGGTGAGGATGGCACAGGAGAGGATAGGATTCAGGTCTGTTGTTCATAGAGCCTCTGAGTTGTACTTGGTTCTATGGCACCAAACAACAGCAACAATTTTTATGTGAGCTGACTGACTGCAGAGCAACCAGCTAAGCTGGAACCAACAACCTATGGGTTAGCAATTGAGCACGTAACCATCTGCACCACCAAAGACCCTTCATTCATTCACTCACTCACTCGCTCGCTCACTCATTTACTGATTCACTCATTTGCTCAATACTTAAGAGTCAGAACTCTGTTGGATTCCCAAGGCTGTAAATTGCACAGAAAGAGATGACCTACCTCTCTCCCTCCAAGGCACCGGTGGATTCAAATCCCCAGAGAGGCTCAGCCTTTGGGACAGCAGCTCAGCTCCACCGGGATCCTTAGATAAAATATAAACCCAAATCAAACCCAGTGTCTGAGTCAGCTCTCACACATAGGAGTCCTGTAGCAACCTACAGGACAGAGTGGAACCCTCCCATGTTGTTGTTGTTGTTAAATACCATCAAGTCAAGTACAACTCCATATTTCTCAACCCTATGAACAATAGATCTGAACCCTGTCCTATCCTGCACCATCCTTATCATCCTGGATGCATTTAAGTCCATTGTCACAGACACTATATCAGTCCATCTTGTTGAGGGTTCTCCTCTCCTTCGTTGACCCTCCACCTTTCCAAGCATGGTACCTCTCTCCACGGAATGGTATCTCCTAAAAACATGTCCAAACTAGGTGACATATTGTGATGGGAAAGTCTGCTGTTAGGGACCCAATGGTGTCTCTCTGGAGACTAAGGTGCATCTGATACAGGCCATGGTCTTTGCTATCACTTGTTATGCATCAAAGAGTTGGACAATGACTAAGGAGGATAGAAGGAGAATTGATGCTTTTGAGCTGAGGTGCCGGAGAAGAGTATTGAGAGTACCATGGACTGTTAGGAAAGCAAACAGATTCATCCAAGGGTTAAACTGGGCAGCTCCTTGGAGGCAAAGATTCTGAAGCTTCATCTAACATACTTTGGACATGTTGTAAGGAGGGGCCGGTCCTTGGAGAGGGACATCATGCTTAGGAGGGTGAAGCTACAGCGCAGGAGGGGAAGGCCCTCTATGAGGTGGATTGATTCAGTGACTAGGGCAATCGGGATGGGAGTGTCAGAGACAGTGCGATTGGCACAGAATAGAGAAGAGTTTAGGGCTGTTTTACATAGGGTCTCTATGAGTCGCAAGCGACTTAACGGCACATAACAACATCCTTGCCTCTGATTACACTTTCTCCAAGACAAGTCTGTTTGGGCTCTGGCAGACCATAGGATATTCAGCACTGTTCTCCAACACCATGCTCAAATACATCAATTCTTCTCCTGTCATCCTTATTCATTGTCCAGCTTGCAGACACATAGGAAGTGATTGGAAAGGCTATGGTTTGAATCAGGAGCACTTTAATCTTTAAACTGACATCATTGCTCCTCAAGACTTTGGAGAGATCCCTGACAGCAGACTTTCCCAATGCTATTTGTCTCCTGATGTCCTGACTGCTGGTACTAAGGGTATTGATTGTGGATCCAAGCAAGACACAGTTGTTGAAAATTTCAATCTTTTCTCCATCTATCATGATGTTGCCTATTGATCCAATGGTGAAGATTTTCGGTTTTCTGGTGCTGAGATATCACCCACATTGAGGACTGTAGGCCTTGATCCTCCGCAGCAAGTGCTTCAGGTCCTCCTCACTTTCAGCAGCATGGTTGTGTCATCTGCCTAATACAGGTTGTTGCTGAGCCTTCCTCCAATCCTAATGCTACATACTTCTTCATAAAGTCCAGCTTCTTGAATGATTTGCTCAACATAAAGATTGAATAGGTATGGAGAGAGGACATAGCCCTGACGCACACATTTCCTGATTTTAAATCATGTCATGCTCCCTTGTTCTGTGTTAGAACAGCTTCTTGGTATAGGTCTAGATTTTTTATTAGTATAACTAGATGTTCTAGATTTCCCATTCTTCACAAGAACTTCCCCATGTTGTTGTAGCTGTTTTGTGTACCGTGAAGTCAGAACTGACTGACGGTAGATTTTCAAAGGCAGTAATCACACAGGAAGAGATTGCCCATCCTTCTCCCATGGGAAGCTGGTGACCTTGAACTGTGTGCCTTCGAGATTGCAGCACAGCTTCTTGCCACTAGGCCACTAGAGATTCCAGACCAGATCCCAGAGAACTATACCTTAGTATCCTGTAAACAAGGTGTTTCCACTCACTGTCTGCTACTATGAGTGTTATTGATGGGAATTGGAGTCAGAGAGAATCACGTTCAAATCCTGTCACTACCACTTCCTGGCAGGATGATTTGGAGCAAGACATTATCCTCTCCACATTTCATTCCAGTCTTCCATCTTCTTTACGTCCTAGCATTAAAATTCAGACCCAAGCTCACTGTCAAGTCAGTTCCGATTCATAGGGCATCTCCAGCAAATCCCTGAGGCTGTAACTGTAACTGTAACTGAGAGGAGACTCCTCATCTTTTCCTCAGGAGTCCTTGGTGGAGTTGAACTGCTGGAGATGTGCAGCATTTGGGTTATCAGTATAGTTGCAATGAACTATACCACCAGAGCTCTTCATTTAAAAAAAGTCCTGGAAGATAACGTGTGACTGGTGGGCTCCAGGTCCTACTCTAGTCTCTGGGATGGCAGGATGGAGACCAGGTCTCCTCAACATCAGTTATGGTCCTGCTGGCTCATTTCCTCGCATCTCCGAGGAGGAGAATGGCCATTCCACTGGAGATGCTCTTGGGGCTTCCCCAGAACATCTCACTGATGCCCCACACCTGACACGAACCCACTGTTCTGTACTCTTCTTAGAAATGCTTCTTGAGCTGGCACACAGCAACAGCCTCCAAGCTGAACACTATCCCCCACCTTGCCTTCCAGAGGTGTCTCGAAAAAGTTCTCGAGGAGAAGCGAATAAAATATTGCAGGAGACGACGACCAGATTTCTGCTCTTTGAAGAAGCAGCTGATAAAGACTGCCAGGTTCTGCTCCATCACCCCAACACGCTTCAGGAATGCGGGTTCAACGCCTCCCTGCCATTGGTGATGATAATCCACGGGTGGTCGGTAGGAAATGCCAACAGGCCTTTTTGAATCTTTACTTTAACATCTTCTTTGCTCCTTCCTGGTGTGTTCACTTTCTAATAAAAAAGTGAGGATAGAAACTTCATGCGTAATATTTGTAAAGCACATTCTCATTCTCCAAGCACTTCCCCACATGTTATCTCATTGATTAGCTCAATTCTGTGAGGTAAGCAGGGCAAGGGAAACATAATTATCTCCATGTTGCAGGTAATAAAATGTAGCTCAAAGAGGTCACACGGCTCATTAGAGTCCATAAAGGACAGTAGTCCATGCCAGAGGGAAGCTCCTACCTGAATCTGTGTGTTCCACAGTGGGGGGAGGTAGGAGACTCACAGGTCAAAACTCCCAGCAAAACAGCGTGTCAGTCAGTAAGAAGAGAGTTCAGAGGCAAAAATGTTGCCAGGGCCTTCTAGTCTCCACCACAGTGACCCTACGTACAAGAGAACAAAATCCCACCCAATCCTGCCACATGCTCACAGTCTCTGCTGTGTTTCAGCGCTGTTACAGTCTGATCTGTTCATCTCCTTCACTGACCCTCCGCTTTTCCAAGCATGATGTTCTTTCCCAGGGCCCTGCCAGATTGTTGTTGTTATGTGCCGTCAAGTCTCCTGTGGTTCATAGCTGTGTACAACAGCCCTAAACCCTGCTCTATCCTATGTCAATAGCACTGCCTCTGACACACCTACCCCTATTACTCCAGTCACTGAATCAATCCATCTCATAGAGGGTCTTCCTCTCCTGCACTGTCCCTCCACCCTCCCAAGCATGACATCCCTCTCCAAGGACTGATCCCACCTTGCAACATGTCCAAAGTATGTCAGCTTTTCCAAGCATGATGTTGTTTCCCAGGGCCCCTCGAGATAGCATGCCCAAAATATGTGAGACAAAGCCATCCTTGTTTCTCAGGAGCACAGTGGTTGCACCTCTTCCTGGACAGATTTGTTTATTCTTTTAGCAGTCAGTGATCTAGTCAATAGTCTTCACCAACACCAAAGTTTGAAAGCAAAATAGAGGTCCAAATTAGCAGTGGTTCAAATAAAACCAAAGCTTGTTTTCATTTCATGCAGTCAAGAGGTATTTAATCAATAACTGGTTAGAAACTTCTGGTTAAAGAAGCCCTTGAAGCTACAGTTCTTTCTAGCTTACAACTCTACCATCCTTTATGTGTACCTCGCATCCTCACAGTCCAAAATAGTTGCTAGAATGCCAGTCATCACATCTGTATTCCAGGCAGCACAATGTAGCAAGTGATGTACACAAAAGGTTCCAAGAACAGTTTTTTTAGGTTGGATTCCTTAGAAGCATCCCTGAAATGTTTCAAATTGCATCCATTCACCACCATAACTTTATACAAAGGAGACAGATAAGTGCAGCCTCTCAGTCACAGACTTTCAATGATACTGAACATTCTATTGCAATAGAACAGGAAATTTTGCCTCCAGGGCTCCAAGTGTGCTCACAATGTGGAAGTAAATTCACAATTTGAACCTTCCAGATATTTGAGTGTTTGTTTCATTTCTTTGAAGCCCTTCTCCACCATCTACTTGGGTGGAAAGATGCTTTCCAAATCTGTATCTCTCTTACCCTAAAGAAACCCAGTTGTTCCACCCATTCTCTCATTCAGCATGTGTTCATCAAGAGTCTGTTTATACACTGACCCAGTGTTAGGCAGACTCCATCCCTCACCTCTCGGATGTAATCCTACAGCCTAGGAGGGCCATCACATGATGCCATAAGGTTGTGGGATGAATCAAGGTGCCTGGATAAGGAGAAGAACACAGAGGATCCCACAGCCTACCAGCAAAGCTCTCTTAGGATTTAAAAGAGTCCCATCCCAGGAAAATAGGGGCTTCACTATACCACAGGGACAGGAGATGAGGTGTTGGAAGCTTTCCTGCCCCTAGAGACTTAATACAGAAGGAGATCTTCCCACAAACTACGCCTTTGACATGCATGTGCCAGCCCATTTAATTCTCACGGGTTCCCTATGGGGTGGATTGATAGTCTCATAAGACAGAAGAAGGAATAAAAGCTCAGAAAGGTGAAGGAGCTCACACATAGGCACACACTCAAAACCAGAACACTCTAGTTCCAAAGACCTCCCAGAGGCCACTTATCACTGGACATATGTCAGGAGTGGGGTTTGACCAGTTTCTTGTGTCATGAACAAAGAATGGTCCTCTTGTGACCTCCTTCTCTCCCTCTTCCCCTTTACCCCCACTCTCACCCCACCCCAGCAGCTGGGCTCACGCTGTAGCACGGAGGTGAGGGGAGCCCCTCCATCACAGCCTGGTCAGGGCAGAACCCTGAGAAGATGAATCTATGCGAAAGGGAGCTGAGGTCAGAGACAATTTCCTGTGAGAACCCCAGGGGAAGGGGTGGATCCCAGGAGCTGTTCAGACTCAATCACCTGTAAAGGAAAAGCTTTGCTTCCTCACTCCCTGTGCCAAAGAGGCCGCCTGCTCATAAAAGAGAAAAGTAGGTGGGAAGGAGGCTCTCTTCCAGAGGAGAATAGTGGGGGAGGACAGAGCCTCTCACAGGGGCCTGACCGAGGTGATGGCAGGAGCTGAGAGCCTGAGGTCTGAAAGGCTTCCAGGGGCATCTGTCTGCCCCTGATTCTGATGCTTCCCTGTCCCTCACTTTTTTCTACCCACACATCCCTATCTCCTGTCCCTTTCCTCTTCCTACTCTCCAAAACCTGTCCCCTATACCTCCTTTTCACCATCCCTTTTCTGCTACACCCTCCTCCACTCCTTGTGCCCCTGTCCTCTTCACCTCCTTCTACTTTCTTTCTGGGGAAATCATCTCTCCGTGTCTTTTCCTCAACTCCCCCTGCCTCTCATTCACCTCCTCCTCTCTCACTCCCTTCTCCTGCAACTCCCTCACCTCCCCTTACCTCTTCCTCACCTCCCCCTTCCTCTTCACCCCTCCCTACCTCTCCCTCATCTCCCCCTGCCTCTCCCCTACCTCCCCCTTTTCATTCACCTCCTCCTGTCTCTCCCTCACTGCCCCCTGTCTCTCCCTCACCTCCCCCAGTCTGTCCCTCACCTCCCGACCTCTCCCTCCCCTCCCCCTTCCTCACCTCCCCGTCTCTCCCTCCCCTCTCCTGCCACTCCCTCAATACCCCATCTTTCCCTCACATCCCCCTGCCTCTTCCTCATCTCCCCTATCCCCTTCACCTCCCCCTCACCTTTCTTGCTCCCCCACCTAGCCAGTGCCTCTCTTTCATCTCCTCTTCCTTCCCCCTCACCCCTTCCTCACACTCCCATCTCTTCCTCCTTCCCACTTCATGCAGCTGCTTGTAGATCCTGCCAGGTGCCATACAGTTTCTCTTTACTCTGTAACCAGGCTGTGCCCTCTACAAGAAGCTCCCTTCACCACTTCTTCTGGTTTATTCCCCTCTTTCTGTAGGCTGAGATCCCACCCAGGGTCCTCTGGAAAGCCTTCCCCTTATGTGCCTCTGCCCCACCCCCACCCCTCAGGGTTCCCTGCACTGCTCTGCACACAGCACTGCTCTGCATCATTGTCTGGGTGGCTGCCACTCTGCCCCACCAGGCTGTGAGGAAAGACTTCTTTCCTATTCTCATCTAATGACTAGTGTGGGAGCCCGTAGCTAGTTGTTGTTGTTATGTGCCGTTGAGTCGCTTGTGACTCATAGCGACCCTATGTACAACAGAACACATGTAGATAACCGTAGCTAGTATAAAGTCTAAAAACATTCACTGCAGTGGAGTCAGAACTGACTCTAGTTGACCATCCACCGGAAGCTGTAAATCACACGGGAAGCGATTCCCCATCTTTGCCTGCAGAGCCGCTGGTGGATTCAAACTGCCTGAGAGGGCCCACCATTGGGGTAACAGATCAATTCCTATAGAACACTGCACCAGAGCTCCCTGGCTTTGTCTCACATACTTCAGGCATGTTGCTAAGAGAAGCTATTCCTTGGAGAGGGACATCATGCTTGGAAAGGTGGAGGGCTGATGAAAGAGTGGAAGGTCTTCAACCAGGTGGATTGACACCGTGACCACAGCGATGGGCTCAAGTATGTCAGAGATTGTGAGGACGGCACAGGAAAGGACAGGGTTCAGGTCTGTAGTTCACAGGGTCACTAGGAGTCATACTTGATTCCTAACAGCAACATTGCTGTTGAGTAGGCATCTACTTATAGCTGACCCTCCAGTAGGTTTGCTAAGGCTTTAACTGGCACAGGGGGATTAACCATCTTTCCAGAGCTGCTCAAGGATTCGGACTGCCCGAGAGGCTGTGCCTTTCAGCTAGCAGCACAACCTCCTAACCCACCAGAGCTCCCTCTGCACATATTAGGGACTCCTAAGCTGTTTTCTCACTGAGTCAATGATTGAACAAATCATTCTTTTGTTTGCAAATGGCAACTTGAAGACTAACAAGACCAAAAATCCAACCACTGCTTCCTATGTATGACCCAAATGTGCTAGGACAGGTGAGCGCTTCCCTCTCAAAAATCCTTCCTAACCCAAAATACACTTATTATAATGACTATCAACAATAGCAATAATACCCACAATAAGTAACATTTACTTAGTGCTTAACTATGTTCCAGGCACTGATGTAAGTTACAGCTATTAACTTACTTCATAATCACAATCATTCTCCAAGATAGGCACTATTAGTATCCTCACTTTCTGGATGACAAAACCGGAACACAGGGAGGTACAATAACTTGCCCAAGGTTAATGACTGGGAGAACTTGAACTTGAACCAAGCATGTTCTGGCTACAAAATGCTACATCTACCTAGAAGGCACTAGACAAACACTTATTGCATGAATTCGCTTGATCCCAGAATGAGAAATCCAGCTGACAGCATAGCCCTTCCTGCTCTTGTCCTCCCAGAGTCTACCTGTTAGCCACACCTAACTTTTCTTCTCTACCCAGAGATCACCCTCCCTTAGAGAACTCTGCGGCCTCTGTTCCTCACAGCTCTTCTCACCCCATCCCTACCAGCACCATGACCACCTGCTCACCCCACTCTCCTTATCAAACTCCTATTTATCCTTCGAGTCACTATAAATGCCATCACTCTGTGAACCCCAACCTGCAAACTGTTCTCAAACAATTCTCAATCACTGTTCACTGAGTACATACGAGGCCCGGGATGATGGTACCATCAACTCAACTCACTGCCATCGAGTTTAGGCCAACTCACAGCTAACCTTCCAGGCGGGTTTTCAGAGACTTTAAATCACACGATAGGAGATTGCTCATCTTTCTTTCAGAGTGATGTGGCTTTGGGTTGACAACACAGCTTCCTATGGACTAGGCCCCCAATGCCTTCGACTGGTGGTGCTAGTCCTTCTAAAGCAAAGCAAGAGATAGCAGGCGAGGGTCACATTAGATGCTATGGGACGTAGAAGAAGGCTGCCTTCACAGAGGAGGAGTCTTAGCTGATTTTTAAAGGATAGGCCAGATTTCTTCTGCTGATTTACAGACTTCTCCATTGTTCAGAATCTCAAAAGTGCCAATGTAAAGAAATGTGAGGTCAGTGACTCTCAAAACAGGGCAATCTCCTATCCTCTCCCCTGCTCCCTAAACCTTCAACAATGTCTGGAGGCACTTTTTGGTTGTTACAGCTGGTAAGAAGGATGTCACAGGCATGTGATGGATGGAGGCCAGGCACTGTCAAACGTTTTGCAAGTGCACAGGACAATCTCCCCTGAGTGCAAAATGCCCGTGGTGAGCGCTCTCTTAGCTCTAATATCACCCATGAGCTGGAGAAGGCGGAGGCGGAGGCAGCGGGTAGACCAAGCCCGCGCCATGTTCCTCCTCGCTCTCCAGCGAGGCTGACTGGACTGTTGATCTCCCTCAGGTGGATGGCTTGCTAGAAAACTGGGTCAGTCAGCTAGTGGCTGCACTGAAGTCCGGGCTGTCGCAACAAGTGAATGTAGGTGTGGCAAACTGGATGTCCCTTGCCCTCAACCACTACGCCATTGCTGCTCGTAACACCCGCTTGGTGGGCCAGGAGATTGCAGCTTTTCTCCGGTGGCTTGAGGTAAGACCTGCCCAGCCCCTACCTTCCTTTTCCACCAAGGATGAATGGATTAAGCTGGTCTCCAACAGCAACCCAAAAAGGAGACTTGCTTCCACTAAGCTCTTGGGAATAGGAGGCTCGATGTGGAAAGTCATTTAAATGCCTCACTTCAGTCCCTGCTTGGAGAGCCCTCTTCTGTACCCCATTCTTGTTCAACTTAGCATCATAATTATGCTAAGGGAATCAAACATGCCCATCAAAGCCCACACAAATGAGTAATGGTCACTTGTGCAGAACACTCATATCAGGGTAAAGACAGGCAGGCAGGGAAGGCAGTAGCTGTCAAGCAGGTCAGTCCCTCCAGAAGAAAGTGAGAGGTGAGAAACAGTTACTGTTTGGAAAATGAATTAAACAGAAATCCCCTGCTGTAGATTTGAATCAGGGTCACAGCAACCCTTCATTGGGTTTTCCAAGGCTCAGTGGAAGGAGACTGCCCATCTTTCTCCCTTGGAGTGAGTGGTCAGTTCGAACCATCAACCTTTCAGTTGAAAGCCTAGCATGTTACACATCACACCAGCTGGCTCCTGAGAGTGTGAACAAAGCCCCTCATTTCCATCAGGCACCAAGAGCAGGGAGGGTGTCCAGATAAGCTGCACCCACAAAAAGCTTTCATCCAGGCAGCTCTTGTCCTCCAGCAATCGCCTTGCTGCTGTCTTCCAGGAATCTGTGCAATTTTCTCGAAGCAATGTTCATCTAATTGGATACAGCCTGGGTGCACACGTTGCTGGATTTGCTGGCAGCTACATCGGCGGAACACACAAAATTGGGAGAATTACAGGTAACTGTGCCTAGAGACTAGCAAACTGTAATCTCCAGAAATGGACGAGGGCGTTGAACAATGGCCGGCTTTCCCTAATACTCTTAGAATTTAGATCCTTCCAGTTTCTGTTATGTCGTACTGGGGTCCATGAAACACTTGGAGCAGTCCTGCTAGTAAGACCAGATTCTAGTTCCTAGAGAATTGAAAACAGACCACAGCCTGAACATCGACTGCCTCTCCTTAAACAAGTGCTTCTCACAAACAAGCCCACTGCTGTAGAATTGATGCTGACTCCTAATAGGCCCCTCATAAGACATAACAGAACTGTTCTATTGGGTTTCCAAGGTTGTGATCCTTCCAGAAGCCCATTGTCACATCTTTCTTTTTTTTTTTCCTAATGGCTGGTGGATTTTGAACTACTGACCTTATAGTTAGCAGCTAAGTGCTTTAACCATAACACAGAGCTCCTCTCTAGGTATCAAATAAAAACTAAACAGTGGACTTTCTGAATGTTTTTGAAGCAGGAATGGTTTTCCTTTTATTG